TCGACACGCACGTGATCCGCTGCTGACTCCCGACGCGGATCCCGGCGCCTTCGCTGTAGCCGTGGAGGATCGGAGGCTGCGGAGGTCCTGTGAAGGAGAGAGAGACATGAAGGATCGTTAGTCACGTTTCGATTTTTTGGTAAAAAATGAGCCCCGAGAGATAATCTTGATGTACCCGGACAGCGAGTAAGTAGGAGTGAGATAAAAAGGTGTGACGCCTCTGAGAGTCTATAGAAGCACTGGAGACGAAAGATTAATGATCTATAATCGGAAAATAAAATAGACATTAGAGCATCGTATCAGCTACAAGAATATTCCTTAACCCAAACATTTATAATTCTTCACGCGATAAATTTATAAATAAAAATACAAAAATGTCTGAGGATGACGAAGCTGCTTTATTTTCTGGCAGGAAAACAGACGTCAATCCTTGTGGCTTCACGCTTCACTGTTTTCCATCAATATTCTCGCCTACTTCTAGTACCTTTCTAACTGGGTCTCATCCCCCTCACTGCTTCATCTCTGCATGTTTACCCACTGTTCTCATCAGCCCTCATTTCCTCCCAACCTCATTATTTTTCCTCACTTGTTTAACACTATTCCATCTATTAACACATCATCACTACTTGAACCTTTACCCTCATTAACGTCACCTCATAACTCCCTCATACACGTCTTGCCCTCCTCCCCTATCCATCCTTTCTTCTCCAACATCTTACCTACTTCTGCTATTTTCGTCTGCTCATTCCCTGCTTCGTGGGGCTGCGCCAGGAGCTCCTCGCCTAATAACGACACCGCTTGGGCCACGGCCACGTATATTGAGGTGGTGGACACACACTGGAGAGTCCGCCCTTGTCATTCCTCTTCAAGAGACCGCCATCTACTTGGACTACTTCCATCTACTTGGACTGGTCGGTATAACGAAAGTCTTGTATTGTATCATAATAGGAGGGTCGGGATTCGATCCTCGATGGTCTCTGTTGTTGGCCACTCCGTCCACATATTCCAGTTCATTGTCCTCGTATCCCAGTTCCTTGTTCTCGTATGCCAGTTCCTAGTCCTCGTATCCCAGTTCCTTGTCCTCGTGTTCCAGTTCCTTGTCCTCGTATCCTAGTTCCTAGTCCTCGTATCCCAGTTCCTTGTCCTCGTATCCCAGTTCCTTGTCCTCATATCCCAGTTCCTTGTCCTCGTATCCCAGTTCCTTTTCCTCGTATCCCAGTTCCTTGTCCTGGTATCCCAGTTCCTTGTCCTCGTGTCCCAGTTCATTGTCCTCATATCCTAGTTCCTTGTCCTCGTATCCCAGTTCCTTGTCCTCGTATCCCAGTTCCTTGTCCTCGTATCCCAGTTCCTTGTCCTCGTATCCCAGTTCCTTGTTCTCGTATGCCAGTTCCTTGTCCTCGTATCCCAGTTCCTAGTCCTCGTATCCCAGTTCCTTGTCCTCGTGTTCCAGTTCCTTGTCCTCGTATCCCAGTTCCTTGTCCTCATATCCCAGTTCCTTGTCCTCATATATCAGCTCCTTGTCCTCGTATTCCAGTTCCTTGACCTCGTATTCCAGTTCCTTGTCCTCATATGTCAGTTCCTCGTCCTCGTATCCCAGTTCCTTGTCCTCGTATTCCCCTTGTCCTCATATCCCAGTCCATTATCCTCGTATCCCAGTTCCTTGTCCTCGTATCCCAGTTCCTTGTCCTCGTATCCCAGTTCCTTGTCCTCGTATCCCAGTTCCTTGTCCTCATATGTCAGTTCCTTGTCCTCATATCCCAGTTCCTTGTCCTCGTATCCCAGTTCCTTGTCCTCGTATCCCGGTTCCTTGTCCTTATCTCCCAGTTCTTTATCCTCATATCCCATGTCCTTGTCCTCATATGTCAGTTCCTTGTCCTCATATGTTAGTTCCTTATCCTCGTATCCCAGTTCCTTGTCCTCGTATCCCAGTTCCTTGTCCTCATATGTCAGTTCCTTGTCCTCATATGTCAGTTCCTAGTCCTCTTATCCCAGTTCCTTGTCCTCATATCCCAGTTCCTTGTCCTCATATCCCAGTTCCTTGTCCTCATATCCCAGTTCCTTGTCCTTATCTCCCAGTTCTTTATCCTCATATCCCATGTCCTTGTCCTCATATCCCTTCCAAGTGCTATATACTCACACTGGCTTAACGGTTTCTACAAATATTTACCTTTGCTCTTGAAAGTCACCAGAGATGTTATCAGCTTGTTAAAACGTCTTTAAGCTGACGCGCAGAGAAGTTTTTCAAGATGATCCTGGTAATTAGTTTTGGTTAATTGCAGAGAAACTTTCAAGAGGGAGGAAGCATTCTTGCTGTTGACTTTCCATTAGCGGCGTAGGTTTCAGTAACGTCGAAAGAAAAACATGGAAGCTTAATGCAAGTCTTGGTATGTGTGTTGTGGACAGTTTAAAGAGGATATGGGAACCGGGAAGACAGTTGACCTTCTGAGCAAGAGTTGTGGGTGTCGACGCGTTCTCAATGTTGCAAGGTCTCACAGTATGAACTGTGTGAATGACATTTGCTGTTGCTGCTGATAATACAGTTATTTCCTTCCCCTCAACCCCTTGTTGCAACCACACTTCCCCCCCACCCTTTGTTGCCACCACACTACACCCCCCAAAACACCCCCCAACCTTGTTGCCACTTTGTTGCCTCCAAATGCCTCTAAAATAAGAAGGTGTGAAGGGAGGAAACATATGCAAGAAGGAAGGAGGCACAAAGGAAAAGAAGTGAAGGAGAGTCACAGAGACAGGGCACTAACAGTCTGAATGATCAGCAGCATGATGCAGAGACATGGCGAAAGCACACACTTAAAACATTTCCAAATTATTAGTACACCATCTCAAGTACATAATCATCAAAAATCATCTCAAGATAACCTCAAGATAACCATAAATAAACTCTGCATTCCGACCTACCTCATTCATGTCACTCCAGGTAAACCCTAACCTCTCTTATAATCTCTTGTCTCTCCACTCATAAATATTCTCGGAGACAAGAGAGAACAAAAAAAAGGCAAAAGCAACGATTTACTATTTACATGAAGAAATACATTTACATGTTAAGCCGGCCTCAAATGCTACCTTGCCGTCAAAAGCGGAGCTTTTGTCAATTCTTTTTTTATCCAATACTTTTTTCATCAAACCCTTCAACAGTTTTACAATGAAACGGCAGCACCCGTTGTTTATTGTTCTGTACAACAGACAGATTTTTTTTATCCTCTTATTTTGTTTCGTAGGTGATTGGCCTGACCTTGCCTTGGGCTAGGACCAGTAGCCAGGCTCCCTGGCTTCGCCTTTCTGGGTCAGTGTAGTGCTTTGCCTGGGATAGAGACTGCAGCATCACTGGGGCATCTAGCAAGGGCTACAGGGACACTGGGGTATCTAGCCTGGGCTACAGGGACACTGGGATATATAGCCAGGGCTACAGGGACACTGGGATATCTAGCCTGGGCTACAGGAACACTTGGGTATCCAGCCTGGGCTACAGGGACACTGGGATGTCTAGCCTGGGCTACAGGAACACTGGGATATTTAGCCTGGGCTACAGGGACACTGGGATATCTAACCTGGGCTACAGGGACACTGGGATATCTAGCCTGGACTACAGGAACACTGGGATATCTAGCCTAGGCTACAGAGACACTGGGAGCACCTAACCCTCCTCCTACACATAATCACACAATATACACCACAAGTGGCAGTGATTGGCATTGAAATTTGTTAATTGGGTTCAGGAAATCGTCACGACAGGTACCACAGTCGTTCCGTGGGACGGTACCTGTATTCTGTCAGGCGAGTGTCGCGTAAATTAACTGTAGAACGAAAAGGAAGCGTCATTGGGAAGCGTAACATCAGTAAAGGTTCCAGTACGTGGCGTATTGACACGTTCCTCAATACGGGGGTACGAGTTTGCGCCTGTTCTCTATGTATACACACACAGACACACCGACAAATCTCTCGACAAAACGGGGGTTCAATATGCAGGTCCGAAACCTTTCATTGGGTAGCGATGAGCCTTCGTAACCCGACCTCCAGGGAGGTTGAGGGGTGGGTAGGGGTGAATCTGTGGGGTTAGGGTGGGTGTTGGGGGTGGGGGGTTGGGTGGGCTTGGCAGAACTTCCAATACGTGAATCCAATATTTTCATGACACGGCCACCAATAACAGCGAGGTCCCGTGGCATCGGTTCTCCCACCGTCAGCATGTTTTGCTTCATCAGTCTCCCATGGCACTGATGCATCTCCCCCCCCCCTTCCCCAACCTTGCCCCTCGCGTCTCTGGTCTCTCCCATGGTACTTCCTACGACACAAGTATCTCCAGCATCCCTCCCACATTACTCTCTTACTACAAAATCCCCCACTCCGCCCACTACTCCCACACTACTCCTACACCACCCTCCCAACCACTACTCCCACACCACCCTCCCAACCACTACTCCCACATCACATGCCGTCAATGGCACCACTCTGGGGTAACCAGGCAAATCCTCATTCAGGAAGAGCAGCTTCAGCCTCCCCAAACCCCCTCTCCTAAGGCTTGTATATTTCACTTCATGTGGACAGCTCATCAATCTCGCTCTCGTGTCCTACATTAAACTACGTGGAAAAATTCTGATATCAATTCCCAGAGCTTCTAGGAGGAGGCCAAAAGGCAGCTAGAGTTATCTCGCGTCGCTGGAGAGTAAGGAAACTTGGCCAAGCGTTCGAAGCTTCCCACAGGGCTGGCCCATTCGTGGTTCGTCTCGTCAGTGATGGTTCTGCCTCTCAAACCGTCGCCCAGCAAACACGCATCGTAAACAACTGTTATTTGATTGCGTTTTTACGACGTTGTAATAACGTTAAAAGCCGAGTTTGTCCTATTGGGGGACAATATGCAAGTGTAACGTCGATTCAAAGTGAAAACTCGACGTTTTCAGTATTCAAGTGAAACGTTTGTTCAACTTTATGAACGTTGATGCATCGAAGTGTGTCAACAAGAGGTGGACTTATGGAGGAAGGAGGAGAAGATCCAGAAGAGCTGGACCTTGGGAGGACCGAAGAAGAAGGAGGAAGAAGAAGAGGAGGAGGAGGAGGAGGAAGAGGAGTGTCCA